TCGAATCGTACGGTGTCGAATAATTTGGTGTCGAATAAATCTGTGTCGAATCGAGCGGTGTCGAATCGTACTGTGGTCAAACGGAACCCGCCCAGCTCCGTTTACTTGCGGTATTACGCATTCCAAGAGATTCGCTTGATCAATGCGAGTGTGATTCAAGTCTACGGTGTCGCATTCTCTCGTGGACGGTACTCGTATGTTTGGATACTACCAATAAACGAAAAATTGCAACAGTTTAAACGTTACGATCGCTACGCTTTCTCTCTTTGGACGACCGTCTGATTAAACGCGCGCACTATACATTATGTGGGAAAACCGATTGTACAAATTGCTGTTAAGCACCGCGCAATTGCCGCATCTTTTACCTAGGTCAGTAGTTGCTGCTATGCATATTATATCTTTGAGTTAGGCGCGATTTTAAACGGATTCGTCACTTCAGACGTCTACGTTCATTCCGCGGTTAAATTTTGACGCAAATAGCGTAGCGACGTATTGACGCGCGCTTGTAAACTCGCATCTAAGAATCGAATGTGAGCATCGCGCGACACTGAGCTTCCATGGATCGGTCATAATTGAGTTCGCGAAAAATCAATAGTTTTACCGCAATAGAATTTGTCTACTCTACGCTCCGTTGTTCCGAACGTACCGCTGCGCTGTTCGACAAACGACGAACGCGCTGCGACGACGTGTCGCACATTAAGCGCAAGAATAAGTAATAAGTTACTGTTTGGGAGCACGTAGAGTGTGTCACGTCCTAGGACAAACAGAGGTCTAGACCGTTTCTGGGAGCTTCACGGTCGAGGGCCTATTTGTGTTCCTCGGGAGTTTTACACTGGATTGCTACTTTATAGTTCGAAACGAGCAAAGAAGACTGGAAGTACCACCCCGGACTAAACGCAGCTCGTTACTTTAAACTGGCGGACCGTAGTGAAGGAACAGGGTAAAATCAGCAAGTCGGTAAAACTGAGCTCGAGAAACATGCACTGTCAAAAACTGGAAATACTTTCCGGGACAAATGGGACAATCCTCGAGATGTCGAACGAGATCCAACCTGGTTCCGCAAGTGGCGCAAAGGGTTGGAGTACTTCGATGACCTATAACCACGCTGTGCGAAAGGAAATATTCGTACTGTTCTGTTGGACGTGCGGCTACGACGCAATTATGGCAGCAAACCTGATTGTCAGAGACACGTATTCTTCCGAAGACACGGCGGCACTTTCCTAAGTTATACCGCTGATGGAAGTCAAGCTCGGGGGTGAGGTAAACAACACCTTCAGGCAACGGTTTATGTATGCACATTTGTTCAATTTATTGGCAAGACTGGATATACA